CTTATAGTTTCAGAGGTTTAGTTAGTCCATTGTCATCATGATAGGAAGCATGGCAGTACACAGGCATATATATGCTGGAGAAGGAGCTGAAAGTTTTACATCTGGATCTGAAGGCAGCAGGAAGAGACTGAGGCACACTCCCCCAAAAAGACCATGCCTCATAATAGTGCCATTCCCTGTGAGCCTATGGAGCCTTTTTTTTTTTTTTTTTTTAACCACCATATTCCACTCCCTGGCTCCCATAGGCTTGTAGCCATATCATAATGCAGAAATGCATTAAGTTTAACTTTAAAGTCCCTAAAATCTATATAGTCTCAACCCTGTAAAAGTCCAAAGTCTCTGCTGAGATTCGTGTACTCTTAAAATCAGAATAAAAAGCAGATCATATACTTCCAACATATAATGACACAGGATATACATTACCATTCCAAAAAGGTAGAAAAGAATAGTGAGGAAATCTGGACCAAAGCAAGACCAAAAACCAGCTGGGCAAACTTCATACTCTGCATCTCCATGCCTGATGTCAAAGCACTCTTCAGATCTCCAAGTCATTTCCGCTTTGTTGACTGCAGCACACTTCTTTCTCCTGGGCTGTTTCCACTCCCTGTGAGCAGCTCTCCTTGGCAGGTCCCACAGCTCTGGCTTCTCTAACATTTTGGAGTCTCCAAGGCAATCGAGGCTTCACAGCTTCACACAGTGGCTTCTCTGGGCCTCCATCCAGGGACACTCCCAACACACATCTGGCCTCCAATGCCTTTCCTTAGTCATGGAGGGAGATTCCATAACCCTTTCTATTCTTGACTCTACAGGCAGAACTGAAGGTTCTGAAGCTATCAAGTTCTGCTGCTTGCTGGGGCTGAAACATGGCTCCCTTGTTCAATTACATCTTCACCCTGTTTTCCATGGTTTTCTTCACTGCCTATACTTGGCTGTTCTGAAACTTGATCTGTAGACCAAGCTATTCTGTGAGTTCAGAGATCTGCCTGCCTCAGCCTTCCAAGTGCTGGAATTAAAGTGTATACCACACACTAAGCTTTCTTTAATCCTTTTCACAAACTGGAAATTTAGCTGGGTAGGAAGGACCTTGCCCTGAGGTCACCACTCCCTTTATTTCATTTAACATCAGGATTTTGTCTAATCTGTTAATCTCCTTGAACACAGAATTTAGTTTCATTCCACTTCCTACTACCCCTTTGGAAAGGGGCAAGATCTCCCAAGCAAATTGGGAGCATGGGAGGAGGGGGAGGGAGGTAGGAAAAAGAGGAGGGGAGAGGAGGGCATGAGGGAGCAGATTGTAAGTTTTGTTTTTTCCTTGTTCATTTTGCTCCTTTTCATTGTAAATCTGCATGAGTGAACACTAATGACCCCACAGCAGACTCGGTACTAGGCTGTTTGAGATTTCCTCTACTAACGCAATTAATCCAAAACTATTTTCATTTTTGCCTCAGGCAGATTTTTTTAAGACAAGGACAGAAAGCAGCCACATTATTCACCAAAATATCACAAGGACAGCTTCTTGGTCACATACAAAAATTCTTCTCCAAAATCTCTTGAGCCAGTCCCCACAGTTTAAATCATCCTCAGAACCATCCACTGTCTTCCATGCTCCTACTAGGATGGGCCATTAAGCCCCACTTAAAGCATTCAACTGCTTTTCTAATCCAGATTCCCAAAGTCCACATTCCTCTAAACAAAAGCATGGTCAGGGCTATCACAGCTATACCCTAGTCCCTGGTACCAACTAGTGTTAGAGTTTCTATTGCCTTGAAGAGATACCATGTTCATGACAACTCTTATAAAGAAAACATTTAATTTGAGCTGGCTTACAGTTCAGAGGCTTAGTCCATTTTTGTCATGGTGGCATGCATGGCAGCACACAGGCATATATGGTGCTGGAGAAGTATCTAGAAGTTTTACATCCAGATCCAAAGGCAGCAGGAAGAGACAGAGGCACACTTCCTCCAACAACGCCATGCCTGCTTCAACAAGTCCACACTACTTAATAGTGACATTCCCCATGAGCCTATGGAGGGGAAACCACCATAGCCAGGGTCTGTACAGAAGTCCATGATTGCCTTCAATCTATAGAATTTTCTTCAGCTTCCCAAAGTGAAACTCATATCAGTTAAGGTGTAATTCCCCATTTTCCTGACCAACTCCTAGGAACCTCTGTCTTTACTTATCTCTGAATTTGACTACTCACATACTTATGCGAGTGGAATCATACAATATTTGTCTATTTGTGAAGGGCATATTTAACTGAAAATAGTCTTCAAGGTTGATTCATCCATGTTGTAGCATCTGTAAGGATTTTCTTAAGGCTTAATAATATTTCATATTATGTATGTGCATACATGTATGCAGTTGTTGAAGAATTCATCCATTGATGTACCTTTGCGTATCATCTACCTTTTGACTATTGTGACTAATACTGTTGTGACATGAGTTATAGACACCAATTCCAGTCTTGTTGGTCATTGTCTTAGTTAAGGGTTCTATTGCTGCAAAGAAATAACCATGACCACGGCAACTCTTATAAAGGAAAGCATTAATTGGGGTGACTTACAGATCAGTGATGTAGAGGTTTATTATCATGGCAGGACATGACGGTGTGTGGGCAGACATGGTGCTGGAGAAGAAGCTGAGATTCCTACATTTTGATGTGCAGGCAACAGGAAGTAAACTGAGATACTGAACCTGGCTTGAGCATATATGAGACCTCAAAGCCCACCCCAATAGTGACACATTTCTTCCAACAAGGCCATACATACCTACTCCAGCAAAGCCTAATAGGGCCACTTCTTATGACCTTATGGGGATAATTTCATCCATACTTCCACAGTCAGCTTATTGATTTTAACTTACTACATTTTGCCCTTGTTCTGTATTATTGAATAATTATCTGCAAATCAGAAAGATTTGACCTCTAGCTTTATCCAAATCTCATTTTTAATTTTATGTATGTGGGTGTTTTGCCTGCATGTATGTTTGTATACCTTGAGTGTGCCTGGTGCCCACAGAGGACAGAAGAAGGCCAAATTGGATCCTCTGAAACCAAAATTAAGAATGGTTGTTAGCCACCATGTAGGTTCTTGGAATTGAACCTAGGTCCTCTGGAAGTGCCCTTAACCTCTAGGCCATCTCTGTAGCTTCCCAAATCCCTTCTGATACCAAGGATGAATCTGCTGTTATAATTGTACAACATGTCCATTCCCCTAGTCCCTAGTCCCAGCCTTTAAAAGAGACTTAAGCAAACGCAGACTGTGTATGAGCTGCCTGTTCTTCGGACCACCTGTTTGGCTGGGTCAAAGTGAGAAGTTTGAGGTTCATCTGCTCATTAGTTACCTGCCTATGTGCGGGCCACTAACTCAACACAATCAATATTAGGTATTAAAAAGAAAGGAATTGGATTTTGGAGTGAGCTGAGTAGATTGATCCCTTTGCATCACAGATAGTTGTGGAGCTTGTTCCTGGGGAAAGCATCAAGTGCTGAGCTAAGTTAAAGCACATACTCTTTGAAGATGATGTAGAATACCAGACACTGGAGGAGCTTCCTACTGGGGGTCTTTACGCAAGGATTTAGCTATAGCTCTAAAAAATAGTAGTAAAATAAAATCAATAAAAACCATACATCAGTGTCAGATAAAGAGGGTTGCAAAATCCATGAAAAAACAATACATCCTATGAACGTAGATTTTAGTATCAGTAGGCTTTACACAAAGCCTCACGGGCAGACCAAGGCCCTCAGCATGGGCTTTGAAGGTGCTTCACTCTGGCCTTATTGTGGCTAATAGAAAAGCACCAAGAAAGCAGAAAGTACTCCTGCTCTCGACAGTCTAAAATTCTTATTATTTTTAGAGAATAGTAACCATGCATTTATGAAGTTCTTTGTCAGGGCAATTTAGTTAATAGCTATGTAAATGACTACTTATTTCACCGTGTAGGTGGATTGCTCCAGGTAGACTTTCTGAGAAAGAATGTAAGTGCTAAAATCTGTTGGCTCTGCAGATGGAAAGAAGCAAAAATGAAGGCTGTACCTTTACTTCTAAGTGTTGAGATGAGACAGGTAAAATAGCCTATAGTAGTCTGCTTAGTTTACTGAGTTGGATTTCTAACTCACATGCAACTCACCAACTACGTAGGGTATGGGAAACTGAAGTGAATCACAGTACACAGTATTGGTTTTTGCTCACAGAAAATCATCATAAACCCAGCTAGAGTGGCATGGGAGGATGCTGCAGTTCATATTACAGCCATTAGTTCTGCATGGGGACAGCACCTATAAAACATGTAAGGGCACTTTACAGGGTTATCATTTTTCCAGCATAAAGGCAGGCAGTGTCAAATCTCTGTTGGTTCTAGATGCCTCCTGTGACTCGACAACATGACAGCTTTTCTTCTCACAGAGGAGAGTATAAGCCTGGGCTTGGGGAAGAAGCCATCAGTGCCCCAACATAACTGCCTGACTGCTGCATAGTCTTCCTCCTCCTCCTTCCTCCTTCTCTTCCTTCTTCAGTTCATCCTACCCACCTGTGCTTTAATCCTCACATTCTCCTTCTTGAAATGTCCTCAGATTCCCAGCTGTCACACCGATTGCATTGCAGTTCTTGGTGATGGAGCCTCGGCTTCCCACCAGCGTGTCCTCCTAGCCTCTCTACCAACCTCCTTTTGACTCCCACCAGTGTCACTTCACTTTCCCCTCATCAGAGTAGCAAAGAAACTTGCTGTATTTGTTTCTTCCTGGGGGATCCAGCTCATCCGCTTTCCCATCCCAGCAGCCAGCTCCTCCTGGTCCATAAGCCCAGTCTCCTATCACCATCTCTGCAGGACTGTTATAATACCTGCGTTTTGGTCAGCAAGCCCTTTCTAAGTCATGCTACAGCCATTGAGAACAGAGACTGTAGCTGTGACTGGACAGCCCTGCAGGCACTGCACACTTTAAAATGCCTCTTTCCACGTGTTCCTTTGTTTGCTCTTACATCTTTCTTCTTTTCCTCCAGGTGCAGAGTGAAGACAGTGTTCTTCTGTTTGTTATTGCCTGGACAATCACGGAAATTATCCGTTACTCCTTTTACACATTCAGTCTATTAAACCATTTGCCTTACATCATCAAATGGGCCAGGTAAAGAAATACATACAGCAAAGACTAACTTTGAAGTCACCTATCACCGTATTTGTCTGAATATTGCCTCCACATCCCCAAACTACAATTGGATGAGATGGAGGGATTTCACCAGAAATACTGTCTCATGTCGTAGATTATTTTTATTGAAATCAGTTTTCAGTTGTTATTTAATAGGGATTTAATATCTATTTTTTTTTCCTTATTCATTTTAGCTGATGAACTTGTCCTATTATGGTGATTTCTGGTTCATAGCTGTATCTCCTAGTCTTGTTTCGTAAGAAACTATGATTCTTAAGGTCATTTTTACTTAATAACAAACATTACATGGTTAGCTTATGAGTTTTATTTGGCTTTGATCATTTTTACCAATAACATTCAAATAAGACTTCAGGCATGGTGGCCCACCCCTTCTAATCCCAGAACTTGGGAGGCTGAGGCAGGAGAAGTCCTACAACTTCTGGCCACAGAGTGAGGCTGTTGTCGAATAATAATAATAATAATAATAATAATAATAATAATAATAATAAAAAAATTCAGTTATGACTTGGGCAAAAGGCTGATGGCATATCTGTTTATCCAGTTGTGATTATATGCATGAAGGACTAGAGGGTGAGAATACAGCAAAAAGCTCCAAACTCACTTTGGAGCTGAGACTCCTCATTTCCCAGAGGGAAAACAGCTGTTGATAGATAGTCTAAGAGCTCAGTGATTACGTTAGGAACAGCATCCATTTCTAACATTTTAGGTATATGAGCCTTTTTGCTTTTATTATTATTATTTGAATAAACTATATTCAGGAAAAAGAAGAAGGGAAGCTGATAGCTCCCAACCCACCTGTACTCTTGGAGAATTCTTTGGCTCATTTTTCTCTGTGGTCTATGGACAATTCTTTCCCGTGACCCTATCTCATGATGTAGGTTGGCAACAGGGAATATAGTTTGTAGGTCCAACCTGTGCTACTAGTTCCTGCCCTCTGAATTCTTTTTGTTTATTTGTTTGTTTAATGTACATAAATGTTTTGCCAGGAGGCATGTATGTGTGCCACATGTATGTCGGATGCCTGCAGATGTCAGAGAATGTTTTGGGTCTCTTGGAACTGGGATTATAGATGGCTATGAGCCACCATGTGGGTGCTAGGAATTGAACCCTGGTCCTCTATGAGAGCAGCAAGGCCTCTTAACCACTGAGCTATCTCTCCAGCTCCTCTGAATTCTTTTTAAAAAAATAAAATTTTTTAAAGTGAAAATAATTCAAAGTCATTAGGAAATTAGTCAAGATTCTATTTTCATGTTTAGAGGTTTGGAAAATAACAGACAGTACTTGTGTAATGTGCTGTTTTCTTCAGTCCACGTGCAGCTTGGTGTGCTCTAGGAATTCTTTGGTAGCTGTTCCATCTCCTTCCGCTCCACCCCCATGGGGAAGGACTTCGTTGTGGTCTAAGGCCCTGCTCTACCTCCGTTGTTCTAAAGATGTGTGTTCTGAAGAAGCTGAGTTTTGAGCCTGGCTGAGTGCATTCACTTTGCTTTAGAACATCTAGAAACACCTACAATGGGCCCTTTTCAAATTGGCTTGTAAAGGCAGAATATAGACAGGTGATCAGGAAATGCAGACAATAGCTTTTTGAGAAGACTGCTTCTAAACATAGCTTTGAGCCACACAGTGAGGATTTTGTTTTGTTTTGTTTCAGGTACACACTTTTCATCGTTCTGTACCCAATGGGAGTGACAGGAGAACTGCTCACAATATATGCAGCTCTCCCCTTTGTCCGACAGGCTGGCCTGTACTCTATCAGCTTACCTAACAAATACAACTTCTCCTTTGACTACCATGCATTCCTGATCCTGGTAATGATCTCCTACATTCCACGTAAGTATAGTTATGTGCTAAAAGTCAGCTCTGTGGTAACTATAGTTACATCTTTGCTGTGTCTCTGATATGTAGCTCATTGATAGGGACACTTTGGTCTTTATTGACTACTGACTATCAGAAGGAATTTTCCCTGGTAATGACTGAATAAAGATGAACCCTTCTCAGTGTATGGGTCTGAAACACTGAAGAGGCTAGGTCAACCCTGTGTTAGGGGAGTACTGAGGAGAAAGCAAAAAACTACTGAAGTTCTTACCTTGGCATTATTTTCCTGCCTCTTGAGAATTCTTTATTATGGTTTGTGAAAAACATTGTAAAAAGATTTTTGCATTGCTTACTAAATCAAAATAGACAGCTTTACTTTATTTTAAGAGATCAGTAGCTGACTAGAAGAAACAAATAACAAAATAAAAACAAATGTATTATTTTTCAACATTTCTCATTTTCTTGTTGAGTACAAAACCCTCAGAATAGGACAGAGTGTTCCCTTCAATGTGGCTTCCTGTTATTCTAATAGAACCACTGATGGCTTAAATGTACGGAAAATCAAGTGTACCTTTGAGTACACAGGGTTAGAACGGAAAGGGCACATTGATGGTGCTGTCAGGGAGTTCTCATTGCTGATGGTGAGGCATGTGTCTTTTTCTCAGGTTCTGCTCAGCATAACTCCTCTGCTTGGTTTCTGTATTCCAAAAGGATCTTGTTAGACTCAAGAACAACCCAGGCTGATGCATCCTCTCATTTGGCTTTATTGTAGCCTCTGTAACTCTGAATCTCCCCTAAACCCTTCTAAATTCAAACAGTGATAAACTTGATTTCTTTAGTGAGTCACCCTAAACATCATAAATGACATGTTTGTGTCCCTCTGTGGAAAATTGCATTGTATGCATTGTGAGGAAAGACACTCCATCCAGATTTCTTATGAACATTTAAAGAAATTCTTGGACACAAGTCCTGCTTCATGACTCGGTTTCCACTCTATTCATTACTAAACCCTCCCTTTTAATGCTAGAACCCTGGCATCTAACCGTTTTCTTCACATGGGAAAGGTTCTGGATGTTGAAACAAAAGGTAAATCTGGAAGATTACACAAATGCACGGTTTTCACCTTTCAAGGTTTGCTTCCTTCCTAGAGCTTCATTTTTTCAGCTCCAAAGCAGCAAGGTATAGCAGTGGTTTTACTTCTCGCCTAATAGCAACCCCGTGGGCACCTTAGTGTTTGTTTCTATTCTGAAAAGCAGGGGATCTGTCCTACACTATGTGACTGGGAAGGACAGGGAAGGCGGCTTAGACTCACACCTCTACAAGGTGATCCAGGGTCCAACCTTGGGGTTCTTGCCAGAGTCCCACTGCTGGCCAGGCCTTCATTCTAGGAGCGTTTCCCAAGGCGGCCTCACTCTTCTCTCCCTGGTAGCCAGCCTTCCTGATGCCCTCTTGCTGGGCTATCAGGTCAGGCATGAGCAGCCCTCTGTGACCCTGGGACCCCTGGTGGAAAATAGAGCCAGCACTGTAGGGTTTTCCATCTTAGCCTTCAGGGAGAGGGGAGCAAGCACAGGCCTAAGGGCAGAGCTCTGCTGTCCTTTTCCGAGAGATAGGATGACTAGAGATTAGCACAGGGCCTGAGGCACATACTCTGCTACTAGCCTGGATCTGCAGCCCAAAACCCTGATTTACTTTCTTTTCACTTGTATGTTCATTATTTATTGGGAGAACACAGTATACACATGCCACAGCACACATGTGGAAGTCAGAGGACAACTTTAAAGAGTCATTTCTCAATTTCCATATGGTCCAGAGATCAAAGTTATGTTGCCAGACTTGCTTAGCAAGCACCTTTATTCACTAAGGCATCAAGATTTAGGTTTAGTTACGGGTGGGGCATGTGTCTGTGTATATAATCCTTAAAGAAGCCAGAGGCATCAGATCCTCTGAAGCTAGGATTAAAGGTGGTTTTAGCTGTCCCCCATGGGTGCCAGGAACCAAACTGGTACTCTGCAGGAGAAATGTATGCTTTTTACAGCTGATTCATCTCCAGCCACAGAGCTCTGCTTTCCTAACCTTCGTTCTTTCCTCTTGCCTCCTTTCTGTTCTCCAGTTCAGAACCAACAGAAGATGGTAGATTTCTCAGTTACCTATTCAGACTAATATTTTCTTCAAGGCTTTCAGCAGCATGGGTGGATGTAGTTAAATAGTCCTGTGTCAGGAATCACAGTGGTCATTCTGATAAAGACGGTATTAGTGCTTTAGCTGCCAGGAAGTCACCACTGGAACTAGAAGACAGCCCACGAGCATCTAGTGTCCAGCATCCTTCTCCCTACCAAGAGCACTGGGGAGCTCTGCCGATTGTAATAGAATGGAAAGGGCCACATCTGGGCCAACAAGATGTCTTTGGGTAAAGTGCCAAGCCTGGCAACCTGAGAACTCACGTGGTAGAATAAGAGATGACACCTACAAGTTGTCCTCCATGCGCAAACACAGTCAATACACACATACTAAATAAATGTTTTTTAATTTTAGAAAAAGCCAAATTTGTCTGTCCTGTTTCTGTAGTGTGACCCTGCTGATAGCCTCAAGCTCTTTCCCATGGGACTGAAGGAACACATGACCATCTTCTGCTTTTACTACCAGTGAGGGGCCTAATGAATAGCCTCTAGTACTGTTCTCTGAAGTAGCCATGGGGGATTGCCACCCTCTGAGAGGAATGTGGTCACAAATGCAGCCAAGGAAGGTCCTAGCTCAGCTCAGAGTCCCTTCCCTACAGGAAAGCTAGGGATGTGGCTGGCCCAGCATTTTTAAATGATTACAGTTAGCACTCCCTATGGGTTAATTATATCCTTACTTCCAGTTTTTAGATTATAGAGCTTGTCAAATTTTCTTGCTTTCATACCAAAATAGTTCTGTCACTGTTGACTTCTTTGTAAAAGCTGAGCCTTTTCTGTGAGTGACTTCCTCCCTGGGAACGGCAAATGGAGTGGGACCAGGCTGGGGTGGTGGCCACATCACTGATGCCTCCTGACTTCTTGAAGTTCTTTGATCAGCTTGAAGCCAAGCATAGTGATAACCTCAGCACTTGGGAGACAGTCAAAAAATAAAATAGTTTATCTGTTTGAAACATAAGAAACTGTCCCAGGAAAGTTGGCAATAATAGAAGCCCCCTCCCCTCAAATACAGACTACTCTCTGGGAAACAGAAACGGGGCTCCTGAGAAGGGGAGGTCCTCATGCGGTGTTTATGTGGTGACTGGATGTCCCTGTTTGCAGCAGCCGTGTGAAGGCCGGTGGCTCAGTCAGCTTCTCCACTGGGCATTTGTGGTGAGCAGGTGTTAGTTAGGGATATTTTAGCATCCCTGGTTTCATATGCTAAATGCCAATAACTCCAGCCCCCTTGCCAAATAATTCTCTAAGGGAGGCAGTCCCTTTTCTAAGAACCAACACCAAGGAATGAAGACCTCCCAGTCCCTCATCCCCAAGATACTGGCTTTCCTTCTGTCATGGCTTTTTCTACACCCCAACCCAGCTTTGTTATGTTTTAAGTCAAAGGTTGTGACTTTCTCTTCCCTCCTCATTCTGCCAATCCTAGACCAGCTTTTCTCAGGACATGCCCTGAGGGATAGCTATCACCCCTACCTGAGAACCTGATCCCAGGTTCCCTGTGAGCTCTTAGACACTTGGTTTACCCTCACTGGTGCTGTCTACCCTATTCCATCTCCATCGCTGTCTTTCTCTCTCTGGAGGTTCTGAAATTAACTAGGATAAATGTGAAAGTTAATGGAGTGTAAACAGGGTTGGCTCAGTAGTAAAACTTGCCTCACATATGTGACACTGCTTTTAATCCCCAGCACAGATGATGATGACTCTGTTTGGTGGCCTGTGGCATCTTGACTGTTCAGCTGAAGCAGGAGACTCTCCATGTTGTCCTTCCCTTTGCAGGCCTGCTTTATTACCGCCGCTGGTCGGTAGGACTGCGCTTTGAGTGGATGGGGCTCACAAAGGCTCCCTAACCCACTGCTCTCTTCTTGTCTTCCAGTTTTCCCCCAGTTGTACTTCCACATGGTACACCAGAGAAGAAAGGTCCTTTCTCGCTCCGAAGAACACAAGAAGTCTGACTAGCTCTCCACACCACTATCCCAAACCAAACTTCTCCATGATCAAAAAATGCTGCAGACTTTTTGAGTTCCCAGTACATTTCATAGAAAATAAGTAAGAACTATTTTTAAAATATTAAAAACAAAATAAAAACCAAAATCCAGTGTCACATGGGCCTGGGATTTTATAAAAAATAAAAATAAAGATTAAAAATTCAAAGAGCTGATCCCTAAAGCATCCTAGCTGGTCCTCTGAGCATGCTCGAATCAGAAGTTCCTGTATCTGTGATGGCTAGAAGGGGCTGGTACTTTATCTCCTCCATGTCCTTCATGTATCTGACAAATAAAGACCTGTAACACTGAGTTCTTGAGAGTTACAGTCTGAGTAATGAATGACATTGCACCAACTTGCGGTAGAAGTTATGTTGCAGTCTGCAGTGTGTTCAGCATTCCCTTCTCAAAGTGCTTGACTGCATGCTGGAAATTCTTTGTAATTTTGAAGCAGCAATTTGTTCTCTGGAATGCTCTGAAGTTCTGGCTAGGACCCAGCCCCTCATATCTAGTGAATGAATTACAAGATGTATATGCCTGTGAATCTTTGGGTAGTGCCTGTAACCAGAAAACCACTAAAAGCCTTTCATTTGTTTTCAATTGAGTCATTACTGCCTGCCACTAAGAACCGTGCTTGGATTTAGGAAGTCTGTGTATACTGTAGAGAGCCTTACCTGGAGCTTAGCTTCTGTCAGATTGTAACAAGCCACTGTGTGAGGGGGAGGCTTCATCATACTTAGCTCAGAGCACGGATGTATATTGGCCTAGAGTTGTTCTCGTTGACAGATGCAAAGTCCATCTCATTACATAGGAGGAGAAAATCTGTAATTAAAGATGCTTGGAAGGTGTTGCTTTACCACTGTAGTCCAGAAAAGCATCCAGAAATAAATTTATGTACTTCCTTTTTATTTCAATTTTTTACTCTTCTGTTTAGATACTTGAGCAGCCACCAGCTGGCTTGTGACTCTGGACATCGTCTAATAGTGTCTTCACAGCACTTAATTGTATAACCATCTATTTAAGTCTCTTTAGGAAAGGTTTGAAGGAGACAGGCAAAACACAAGTTACTGCCCTGCCCACTGCTCCTCATGGTGCACTCAGCAAACTCTGCTTTTAAAAATAGAAAGCAAGGTTCTGATAAAGATGCCAGGCCCAAGTTTAGATAAGCACTTGGCCTTAAACAGCACACTCGTAGAATCACTTCCCTTGTTTCCTTTCTTCTTTCTTCTTTGTTTACCTTTAAGGCTTTAAAAATCTTGCCATTGTCATTTAGAAGATAATTATTCCAATCAGAAGAATATAATGAAAACTACATTTTCAAACGTGTATTTTCATAGGAGCTAGAAAAGCTAATGCAGGCAGGTGTGTAATAAGTTATTGTCTAAGGGAACATTAGAATTCTGCCTCGAGCCAGCTCTCTTGACTTGTCTGTGTTGAAATCAGAATCTGTTCCGGTATTTGATAGACAAATATGTGGAAAAGGTTTTCTTAGCTTTTTATTCCCCCAAACTGTACTTCTGTAAAGCAGAGTCAACTTGGGTTTTGTCAGCCGTGTTACGGTATCTGACTGAGATTGCTATAGTTGCACTGGAATGATTGCAAAAGGTGGTGTGAGAAACAGATGGTCCAGCCCAAGGACAGGGCTCCTCCTCGGGCCTTCTGCGTTGGCCGAACTGCATCAAACTGAACTTCAGTGAAGAGAACACAATCACCAGTTTCCTTCAAAACTGGTCTCAATCTTCTGGACATGAGCACTGAAGACAGCACAGCAGATGAGTGAAGGTGGCTGTCATCTTCTTGGCAACTAGATTTTAGGGTTTTTTCTTTTTTCCTTTTTCATCCCTAACATGCATTCATTTCTCCTTTGAGGTAATTGTGTTCTTTTATAAATTGAGAATATCCAGCCTCCCCAAGTGTCATGTCTAATGGTGAGGTGTGAACGAAGAAAGTGCTTCTCTGTGGGTGCTTTGTCAGACTTAGAGACATCTTCCCCACATCCACTTGACTGCCTCAGATCTCCCCGAGGGGCCCGCTTGAAGGGATGGGTTCTTTGAGGTACACAGCAGTGCTCTGTAGAGCTATGGTGTTAATCTGCATCGTGCTGAGGTTAGGACCACTCATTGCACGTGTTCGTGCCATAATCAAAGACCCCGTGGAGTTAGTCATGGAATAAAGCACTGTCCTGGACGGAAAAGCCCCTCTAAAAGCAAACTGAATGAGAGGATGATGTGACTGATGCCAGGCCCAAGAGGCGGATGAGGGATCGATTGTGCTGCTGCTTTTCATTTCTAATAAAAGCCTGATGTTGCTGTCGTCCAACCTGGACATCACATTCAGTTCTGAGTTTCAGATAAACCACTATAAAACATCAAAGTCAATACATACTGCTCCTTTGAAATTTGGGAAAAAAAAATTATACAACCATATATATATATATATATATATATAGTCATTTTTGTATTTTTTTCTATGTTGTGAAAACAAAAATTGTAATTTTATAAGTCTTTGATTCACTAAAATTATATAATTTAAATGTATTTTTTGTATATTTAGAAATAAGGGGCTCAAAGACTATGCTTAACTTTCTATGCATGCATTTGAAAGCTGTTTTTATCTGATGTTAATGTAGTAAGTTATACTCATAAAACACTGACTTGTGTTGCATTCGAAATAAACTGGTGTGTGCTCTGCCTAGGTCTGATCTGGGGCCATGTTTCGAGAATGTGGATACTCCTATTCCACTACAGACTCCAGCTTGTTCTTTGATGACTTTCAAATCTGTTTCTGATACTACCACTTCTGTACTTACAGGAAAAATAGACTTTATTAAGATGTTTCTCTCTGCCAGTTAGACTTCAGGCTCACCAAGGCAGGCTGCCAACAGGCTGCACAAGCGTGTGAGTAACCCCTTCTAAGGTACCAGGAAACCTAAAATATTAATCAGCAAGAAGGGAATATCTTTTGTCCTAGAACGAGGTTTTTGTTTTGTTTGGGGGGTTTTCTTAGGGTCATTTTCTTAGCAACTTTCTAGTATTAAGCTGAGCCCCCACTCAGCAGATAACTGTTTCCCAGCAGGGTTCCTCTTCTATGAAAACTAGATGGGGAAGGAAGTTCAAGTACCTCACCCTGAAAGTGGCTCCAATTCCAGAACATTCCTGGGAGTTTTTCACATGGTCAAAGTGTTGGGGGGAGCTTGGTTAGGATGCCCTCCCACTCTGGATCTGAAGTTTCTTCCATGCACAGGCCCATCAAGTCCCCTGGGTGCTTCCTCTCCTGTGCTTGCAGTAACACCTTGCTCCTACCTAAATGTGCAGTGTTTCTCAAAGTTAACCACTGTCATTGTCCAGGAGCATGGTGGTGTATCCCAAAGGAGAACATCTGCTCACTGTCCCCAGCACAGCAGTCTGAGTGTCCCTCTCGTGGAGGGTCTTGTGTTTCTCACTAAGAAAAGGGAATCAGATGATGACACCGAGATGCAGGTGGGAAAGTCAAGCATCCTTTACAGTGAGTAGTGATAAGAACTTGGTCTTTAAGCCCCAGCCTTACAAATAGCCTGGCTCATTGTCAAACCATTTGGTGATGAGGAAACTGTTGTAAGTAACTATAACCGGAAATAGCCATACCTATTAACATTCCCCTCCTTGCATCTAAGAGCCAGATCAAGAGAGAGCCATGAAGATCTTTTGTTTTGTTTTTTAACCAATACTGTCTTTGAAAAAGATGTGAGGGGCTACTTGGTTTTTGTTGTTGTTGTTGTTTCCATTTAGAGTGACACCCATGGTGTTAAGTGGGCAAATCTCCATACCAAAAATAATCTTTCCCACAAAAGGCAAATTTGCCCCAAGACTCCCATTGGATAACAAATCCAAAACAGTGGGAGGCTTTGTATTGAAGCACCTAGTGTCCATTCCGTTAAACACTTTCGTTTTCTGGGAGCTCCCTAATTGTAGAGCATAAACTCCTTCCTACCACATCTCTTTCACATCTGTATGTGGGTGGGTGGAACCCAGATGCACTGCAGTTGCAGCCTCAGCTGGTCTGGAAAGCCCTTTCCACCTCCGTGTTGTGGTGGCCAGCCCTTCCCGCTGGGGGGCAGCACCTCACAGGCTGTCTGGGCTTCGGGAACATTGGAAGCATTGGGAAAAGCAGCTTCAGCCCAAGGATGAGAAGGGCAGAAAGGCTCACAGATGAAAATTAGTCACGCATCTATTGTCCATATAAAGCAAAGACAGGTTGAGAGCACTATCTGGAGGCGTACAAAGAAAAGGCAGCTTGGGTGCATGCCTTGAGGGTCAGGTTTTTCCCTCATGGTTTGCACAGCCCAGAGCTTTGGATGCTGGGACTGCAAGCAGGTGTCAGCACCGCTCTGCAGCAGAGTCCGCATGTGATTATCTGAAATGCCCTGGGAGGTCCTTTCCCACTCTTGCTCTGTCTCTGGATATTTTTGGAGGGCAGTCTGGGCCATGAGAAAATGTCAGGCCACCTTATAAGGCAGTGTCTGGACCTGAGAATGCTGTCTGCAGCTTTTCTGGGTACACTGTGGACTTGAATTAACTTGACTCTTGGACTGTGGGTTTTCTCAGATTCCAAATACTCTGCCCATGCCATGAATTATTCTCTTTAAAAGACTGAACCTCTTCCTTCAGAGAGCTGTTTAAACGGCCATCACAGTGAAGAGCTCAAGCAGATAACCAGGGGTACCTTCAACCAGATTGTGTCTGACGTCCACCACAGTTCTGGGTGGCAGGAGTGTGGGTCTGGTTTAAAACCCTGAAACAAAATGAAAAATTTCTCCTGTTCAGCTTTCACTCTGTGAATGTATTTTGAATCTCCAAGAGGGGGTGCTGTGCCAGACTTTCCAAACCTGTTTTTCCCCCGAAGCTCCCTGAACACACCTTGAAAATTGTGACAGTTGGTGAGTGGCAACTTTCCAAGGGATATCCACCTGTTCTTGAGGATGGTGGGAATGGGATTCAGCCTGGGATCTGGGAAGCTTGCTGCTTCAGCTTCTAGGCAGATTGGGTTTTTAGATAAACCACGCTCATAAAATAAATAAATGGATGCTTAGATTAATGACGCAGGTGTGCTCAGCCCCAGATGGCGTGTGGCAGTTGCTGTTTTCCAGTGGGTGTAAAAGGTGTCACTAGTGCCCCAGGCCGAGTTCAGTCCTCCTGCTGAAACTCCATCCTCCTTAAGTCCTTGAGATAGATATTATCCCTGATTTCCCCTACGCTGGGCATGTGGCTCACACCTGTAATCCCAAGCATTGAGGAGGCCGAAGCAGTGGATTCCTTTAATGAGGATAAACTGAACTATAGAAAGAGATGCTGCCAAAGGAAGAAAGGAAGGGGGGGGAGTAGGTGGGGGCGGAGCCATCAGCAGAAATCTTTCCACCTTTTGTTACCAAACCCCTAACCCTGTTTTGGGAACACACTTTCCCTCCTCTTAGCCTTTGCTCATCTCTCCCCTCTCCTCGAGACATTCAAGTTCCTCTCCTGCCATGCAATGCCACTGACATGGTCCATTCACGATTACTAGTGGTCTCTGTGTTATGGGTCTAGGGCACTCACTTTAGTCCAGGGCACCCAGCAGTCTTAGACTCTAGAGACTACGGCTTTGGAGTAGACCAGGGGGTTTGGCAATGCCCAGTGCTAGCCAGAACTCTCAATTCTCCATGAATCCCACCAAAGAATCCATGGAGAGTAAACAAAAAAGTGTCGTGGGTAATCTTTCCAGGGTGGAATTCTTCTAGGCTGGGAAGGAGCCTCAAAAAAGTCCTTCCCAAACCAATGAGAGAAGTGGTCACAGAACAAGGAAGTGGATGGGTCCTTCTAAGTTCACCTCAAAAGTCATCCCATTCTTCATCCCAGTGCTAACACTGCCAGGGGAAGATGCAGGGGGAACGCCTGTGCCTCTATGCCTGGCATCAAGCTGGCCTGGTCTGATGGTGGCTAGGCCAGGAAGGACAGCTTGAGAGAGCATCCCCACTCCTCTCACTGCTTAAGCTGGAGGAGTCCACAGAAATCACAGCCCAGTGCACCCACCTCTTAAGGCCCATCAGCTGCACTCACTCCCAGTAGCAGGTGTAGCTCCTCATAATCTTGAGACTCCACATTAAAGTCAGCATCCCTCTTCCTTGGGGAGAAGTGAAGATGTGCTGTGGGAAGGTACAGGAAGTCTTCGGAGCCAACATCCTCCCTTCCATCAGCAGCCAGCTTGCAGATTGTTTTCTCCTGTTCTTGAGCCTGCACTCGGCTCTCTCATGGAGAAGTTTGGAAGAACACATAGGGTTCCTGGGTCTCTCAGCTTCCCTTCTCATTCTGACCCAAGGCTTTTGACCTGTGGGGAGATCTGACCCATGAGCATGTTCTGTTGGACACTCATTGTCTTTCTTTTGTGGACTCGATTGCCCACAATTTAAAACTGAAAGATACCATGCAGTCTTCTAAAACAGTAAGAAAGGCGAGGCATTGGGAGTTCACATTCCCTATCAGGCCTTGGTGACAACCAGGGAGGACTTCCCTGCCGGATCTGGTGCTAGGGAAGGGAGCACGCTCAAGCTCCTGCAGCTCACTGCCCATCCAGGCCCTGGAGGCTCCTGGAGCAGGCGCCAAGAGGAGGAGCAGATCTCAGACTTTTGATCTCTGTTTGAGTGCTGCTGACTGTAACTCCACCAGGAATCCATAATCGCCCAGTTCACCCTTCCACATTGACACGCCTCTCCTCCCCCAGTCCCACACCACCACAAACCTTTATCCTTCACAGTCCTCATCCCCTGCTGTCTCCTACCTCTCTGAATGGCCTCAGTCCACCAACCACACAAGGCAGGCCCTGGAGCCACCTTCTCACTTCTGGGTCTTTGCCCATGCTCACTTTATTCATTTGTGCAATCCTGTTGATTATAGCTCCTGGGGGTCCACTGCTCCACCTGCTTCTCTCCTCTGCTCACCCCTCTCCCACCTAAGCCACCATAGATGCTGCCTGAACCACTATCTCAGCAGGAGGCCTCACCGCTGCCACCCTGACAGACAGACAGACAGACAGACAGACACACACACACACACACACACACACACACACACACACACACACACACACAGTCCGTCCGTGCACGCAGGCACCATTTTCCACAAGGCTTCTTAAAAATGCAGACACGCTCCTGTTACTGTTGGTGATGAGAAGTCCAGACCCCTGAACACAAACAGGAACCTTCTTGACCTGCATCCACTTCTGTCTCCAGCATCTCTGCTTCCTCCATTCTGGATGCCTAGCAGTGTCCAGGTGCTAGGTACTCAGCTGGTCCTTGTTACCTCACAGTCACTCCACTTAGGAGAGGTTCGCTCCCTCCCCACCCAGATAATTCCTTCTGATCCTCAGCCATAGACATGGCCTTGTCTTCATGAAGTGCCTACCCAGATCCAGGACCCATGCTGGCATTTCCCCTGGACACCCCCATGGTGGCAAAGTTGCCAGGATGAAACATGAAACAAAAGATCAGTCTAATTTGAATATTAGATCAACAGTGGGTGTTCTGGCATGTCTCCTGCCAGATGTTTGCTTTCTAATTTCATGACCATACCTATTTCACATCACTGAGCTCACCGCCATCTTTTCCCTCAACGTCCTGTGCAGACTGGGCCCCTTGACTGTGAACTCTCCCAGGCCTGTGTGGTATCGGGTTGTAAATTCT